TTATTCACAACAGGGTGAAGGGTTTGGAGAAGGCCGGAGAAGTGAACAATCTAGGACAACATAGCTGATTTGGAAAAATTCTCCAATTCAACTCACGTTCCGTATGAGCTATGTTGTCCTAGATTGTTCACTTCTCCGGCCATCTCCAATCTCAATCTTAACATGTGATTTTGGAAATGAATGGAGATTCCTGCACAAAAACTCATCACGAAAACATTCACTGCTGAAATTTTTGCCTGTTTGAGAATTATTTTCCGTTTTGCTTCTTCAATTTGTTTTTTTTTTGAGAATGATGTTCGAGCAAAAATTCTGAATTTTTTTTTACGAATAGAATTCTACTGGTGTATGGTCAGCTTAACCTCAACGCCCTGTTCTCCTGCAGTAGTATAGATTCCACTGGTCCCGTATTGATGATGTTAAGGTCCCTCCTACATTCTGGGGTGGAAACGAAGAAGACTGGAGGTCTGGCTGCCTTGGAGCAAGGTTAGTATTGTTCTCAGCTATGTCCCCCTAGACCAGCCTTTCTCAACCTTTTCTAACATGGAACAAGGATCCCTTGAAATAACTTTTCCTTCTCAGGGAGCCCCTGCTAATAACTACTCTATCTACAGCTCATAGTACATTGGTGTGATGGTCACTGGTAAGAATGCCCCTCACATTTGTGGTCATTAGGAAGAACCCCTTCCCCCTCGGAGATAGCTAATAAGATAATTGGTGTCAGTGATTGCTTCTCTCAGAGACAGAAATTGCTCATTGCTCAAGGAACCCCTAGCAACCTCTTGAGGAATCATAGGGTTCAATGGAACTCTGGCTAGGCTGACCTAGAACCAGTGGCGGACCTAGGGAACAAAGGGCCCTGGGGCGGATTGTTTTTCGGGCCCCCCACACCCCCCCCCCCAAAAAAAAACACAAACCCCCCCAACCACAACTCCTTTGTACCAACAACAAAAAAAGTTGGAAAAATAGCATTGCTGTATAAAGTACAGCTGAGATTTGTAGTCCTCTATAGAGGGTCCCATTCTGCATTGCTGCAAAGCAGAATGGGACCTGCTATATAGAACTACAAATACCAGCTGTACTTTATACAGCAATGCCATCAATTGGACTACAAAAAATACTTATTTTATTTAATAACCATCCTTCACCTCTTCTGGCTGTTTTCTGTTGGGGGAGGCTGTACCATCTCTGCCCCGGGCTGTGTTAGATCAGATACTGGGCCCCCCTTTAGGCTCAGGCCCCGGGGCGGCCGCACCGGCGGTAGGTCCGCCCCTGCCTAGAACTCTGGCTAGGCTGAAATGAAAACTATACCCTGTATATACAGGGGGGTGGCACTCACATGTCATTTTTTTTTAAGCCCGGAGACAAATGATCATCATCTCAACCCTGCAGTGAACAAATACAAAGCAAGCAATTACAGACGCTGAAAAGTAGACACCAGAAGATATCCAATACCCCATATCATCCACCCCCTTACAGGGGTCATCAAAGTCCTCTGCTAGTTCTGAAGGCAAAATTTGCCCAAAGTTAAACACATTTGCCCATTCCCAGAGCACATGTGAAAGCACTTGAGATGGTGATTGAGCAGCAAGCACCAAATTGTAGCAGGCAAGTGGGATTCTCACATGGACCAGAAGTGTGGTATATTTTCTGGAACTTGGTTTGTTGCAAACAAAGGAGGAAGCATGCATGCAGGCAAGCAATTGATGGTGCCTACTTTGTAGCCGCTGCTTTAGTTTAGTATCTGCTCAGTAGAGAGTGGCTTTAATTTCCCAATTGATTGAGGGGCCTTTACTGTAATTGTAAATTTGTAACAATTGAATTTAGTAGAGAACTTTATTATAAATAATTAAAATAAAATAAAAAAAGTTTCCTTTTGAAGCACTTTGACCACCTGAAAAAACTCAACTGTGTGTCAAATGCCTGGTCTCCCCGCCGCGTGCTGTAGTTTAGTCCTCCAGCCCCTACATCACTACAGGATATAGTAATGACGTAGGAGCTGATGGATTGAACCACAGTGTGCGGCAGGGGATGTAGGCATTTTCACAATCATGGAAGTGTCGGATATGATAGATTCTTTGGGCGGCTGTAACTATGGAACAGAGGGAAGATTCCAGGAATGGGTGATGGGACTGGTGTGTATAAACAATCTTCTATTTCTTGGAACATTTTATTCCATTTTTTTAAAGGCATTAGAATCGCTTTGACTGTCACTTACTGTTTGTGTCTGAAGCACTGCATCTTCATGCAAGCTTCTTAGTTGGGATGCACCGATACCGGTTTTTCAGTATTGAGTACAAGTACCGATACTTTGCTTTTCGGTACTCGCCGAAATCCTGATTGCCCGGGAAGCTCCATGTTGTTTTTTACCCACTCGCTTCCCAGCCAATAAGCATGGCCTCCCGGCCAATAGGGAAGCCAGGCAGCGAGCAATGACGCGCCTCCTGACTTCCTGACTGGCCGGGAAGCTGGCTCCATGCTGATTGGCTGTAAAGCCGGCTTCCCAGCCCATCAGCATCAAGCCGGATGTTCTTCCTCTGACCGGAAGTTCTGGTATCGGGGAAGGAATCGGAGCATTTGGGTGAGTATGAGTACTCACCCAAATACTTGGTATCGGCACCGATACCAATACTAGTATCGGTATCTGTGCATCCCTACTTCTTAGTATATTTTCTTTCCAGGTAGAATGTAATATTAGGAAAATACTGCATTATGGACACTAGATGGAGCTGACAAGCATCCTTATTTCCTATGCATTATATTACATTATTATTACTTCGACCTGAAAAGAAAATATGCTAAGAATGGTCATTTTTGCCTCTTTTTGCCCTGAATGAACATTGATAGAGATTTGCAGAGTGAATGCTCTGTGAATTGTTTGTAAATAGACCCCTAGTGTCAAGTTTAAAAAAATTTCAGAAAGGCAAAGACAGTGGTTATGCACTATATGAGGTTTTTTTTTGTTGCAAGCATGATTTTCTAATAAAGCAATTTTGGAACATAATACAGAACAATAAAAATTGCTTTAAAAGTGGAGTTTTCCTTTAACAAACCACTTAACAGGCAGACTCATTGCTGCCGAAGTGATGCGCTGACAAAACACTTCCCACTCTCACACACTTCTTGAAAGAGGCTGATGAATTGTTAAAACAAGGTTTAACATTGCACCTACATGCAGCTTGTTATAGGAAGTTTAAAGTTGATTTCCATGTTTGATTACGTCTTCAGGAATAAAAGTGTAAATTCAAAATACCATTTTTACATTTAAAGCAGACCTGCACCTAAAATCTAAAATGATTTTGTTTCATAGGGATTAGGGAACCATTTCATTATGTCATAAAGCTGCCAGAAATAAAATGTACTGTTACCATATACAGTATATCTCCTGATTTAAAACAGTACATCACTTTCACACATGTGACAGTGCTCAGACACACTCACGCCATTCTATTGTATTACATCATCAAGGCATATCCTGCCCACTCCTGTCACCGATTGCTGAATTACTGTGATGGTGGCATTAGGGGATGGGGGTCTAGCAACAGGAATCCCTGGTCATAGCTGGCACCTCCTATAATAAAGTATGTTGGCCACTTCATGATCACATAACTCTGTGGAACACATTGAAAAACCAGACCTAGGCAAATTAGCAACTGCATAATGCATTCTGTCAGTGCTTTATCATTCACAGCTACCTTGTCTTATACTGTTTGAAGGGTTAGCATGAGTAAGATCAAGGTCCTCTCTAAATAGTTTGACATTTTAGAAACTTTACCTGTTGATGAAGGGGGTCATTTAGTTTTTTTAGGCTTCTTTGTGATTTATAACACTCTGGTACTGTTCAGTTTTACTGCCCAATCAGACAACAATTTAGCAGGAAATGTATTATTTGGACAAGTGTGCTGTCCCAATCATTGTCAGCCCTCCATGTCATCAGGTGAATGAAGGACCTAAAGAGGGCAGATGCGCAGAATCAAAGGAGCTGTCAGGTAATTACCAGCAGAACCTGCATGGGATGGAGTTTGCTGCAGAACAGCTCCCAGATTGCAGCCATTGAATAGACCCCAAATGACAAAAGCTGAGACCTGGAAAAAATGAGACAGGTATAGAAACAAAAGACAACTTAAAGTGACACTTAACTCAGGAGTAAGTGCCTGTTCACCTGACGTCTGTTTTGTGTGCTGACCTGATCCGTACGCTCCTGCACTCAAAATGCATCCCAATGTATCCCTATGTGTTTTATGGGCTACAGTGCTCACGTGCGCAGTGCGTTCAGGTTACGACAGAAAAATACTGCATGTCACATTTTGTCCGGTCAGGAAACAGTCAGGAAAGGCAAACGCATCAAAAACACGGCCAAAACGCACTGCATCAGTAGCACCGCGTCTGCAGATCCGGACCTGATCAGAAAGCTGCAGGCAGCATAGCTTGATACAGGTCTTGCGATATAAAAGGTAACCCTTCAGGGACTGCTGGTACAGTTACAAATGTCATATTTAGTGCAAGTGCAGTTATCCTTTGATGCCAATCTCTGTGTTTTTGGATAAAAACAAGAGCACCCAGGGGAAGCACAGATATGGGAAAAATGTACAAACGGCTAAAAGGGTTTAGGTACACAAGTATTTTGCTTTCAAATGCAGCAATGCTCAAACGCATGTTTTCATTAAAACACGTGACAACAAAAGGCTGTGTTTGATCTGCTTTGCCTGTAATTCAAACACACCTCAATAGGACACGCAGCATCCCAGAAAAGTCAACGCAAAGCAAGTCAACTTCAGCCTCTGAACATTCATCAACACTTGTCCATTTTATTCAATGGGAATTGATGACCTGCGTTTCACGCGCGCTTTGGTTCGAAGGCATGTCAAACCCAGGAAACCGATACCTCCCTACACGCGCCCCAGGGCAACAGTTCTAATCACCCAGCCACCACACTTTTCCAAATGATGAGGATACAGTTACCCTGCCCCTAATGTAGGATAAGGCCAGACATTACGAGATACCTTAATCTGAATGGTGACTTTCTTCAGATCGTTATCCTGGTTTATGGTGAGGTCATCGTCGTAAAAGAGGGACAATGGAGCACAGTTGGTTTGGATGTACATTTCTAGCTTGGCTTTGCTCTTTTTGCTGAGGTTCTCTTCCATCTGCAGCAGTGCAGTTGCTTGTTGCATTACGGCATTTGCAGCGGCATTATCATAGACCCTGTGGCAAAGAAAGGGAAGAAATTAAATCAGCTCCACCTCCGTGTCACTCCACCACCTCTATGTTTTTAATGGTAAATTCAGTATAAATGCACTATGGCTTCTAAATGTTCAGGTGACTTATCCTATTAGCACAATTTGGACTGTATAGGTCTGCTTTAAAGTGTTTCTAACAGGGTTATTCACAAAAGGGTGAAGAGTTTGGAGAAGGCCAGAGAAGGGAACAATCTAGGACAACACAGCTGAACTGGAAAGTGAGCTGAATTAGAGAATTTTTCCAAATCAGCTATGTTGTCCTAGATTGTTCACTTCTCCTGCCTTCTCCAAACCCTTCACCCTTTAGTGAATAACCCTGTAAGAGTTTTGAGAACTCCAGGTCACTATAAATGGGTCACCATGTATCTACAATAACACTATTTGTTTTGAAACTAGCACCAGTCAGATTATTGCTGAGTCAATAGGCCTGTAGCTAAAATGTAAACATTTATCTGGTCCATCAGGGGTATACAGGTGCAGGTGCACCAATTGTTATGTTTATATAGTTAATTTTGTAATTCTCCTGTCTGTGCCCCTATCAACGTTGTCTTGTTTCATTACTAAAGGTTTGACTTACCTGACATCAGTTCAGAGCCTGGCCCCCCATCTATCCACCCAGAGCCGTAGCTAGCTCCTTTTTGCGCCCGAGACAAGAACAGAAAATGGTGCCCCCCAACAGACGACGTGAGCGGTATGCGACGTCATGCGCCCCGTCTCCAGGATGGCGGTGCGCAGAGTGCGCTGGTGGCCAAATCCAAAATGGCATAAAAATTTGTTTCGTTTGACGAGACTAATGAAAACATTTTTCATTTCCGTTCATTTTGTCCGAAACAAATATTTATTCTTTGCACATGTCTAGTAATATGTGTGCATGTGTCTAAGTAAACCTCTGACATTTCCCTTTTGAAATCGAAAAAGAGATTGAGTCCTCTGCCCATACAGGTGGGGGAGAGCAGCGGGGATCCGAGGAGAAGCTGGAGCCTGTGCCGCTCCTCTTCTCCCTGCCAAGCCACAGCTGTGTTGGACGCCTGGTGCCCCTGTTGCCAATAGTGCCCTGTGTTCGCCATGGCAAAAAGGGCAAAGGGGCGCAGCCAGGGCCGGCCCTGGCTGCGCCCCCTCTCAGCTGTGCCTGAGGTGAGTGCCTCACTGGCCCCATGGTAGCTACAGCCCAGTATCCACCCATCCAAAGAAAGTGCCATCTGAAGCACTGACTGCGCCCCCTCTCAGCTGTGCCTGAGGCGAGTGCCTCACTGGCCCCATGGTAGCTACAGCCATGTATCCACCCATCCAAAGAAAGTGCCATCTGAAGCACTGTCATTGGACAATGGGTTGGCACGAGCCTGATGAGTAGTCAGGTACACCATGCTTCTGTTGGGCTCAAGCCAGTGAATGTGTTTTGCAGATGAGAACCAGGGGAACAAAAAATATGCTCCATGTGTTTTTTGCATGTCACTGAACCGATTTAAAATAATTCTAATTCTTAAAACCGCATTTAAAAAATTCCTTCCCTGTTCTAATAGAACACATTATTGAGGCCAATACATTTTTGGTTGGCTTGTAAAGACTTCTTTTTAAATGCTTTTATTCCAGCACCGGTCACTTTTCTTTCATGCTCTATAACTGTCTTACATCCTACTAACTATAACCTACCTTTGGAAGGAATCCGCAAGCAAGGCAATAAGCAGGTTGATACAAAGGATGGACGAGATTCCAAGGAACGTGCCACACAAAATATAGGCCATGACAGGGTCAACTCTATACATGTCTGGGAAGTTATAATCATCCACTAGTGTGATGCGGAAGATGGTGAACATCATCTGAGGTACGCTGGCCATATTCTCTACGAGGCCTGGACAAAGAGATACCATTGTGTTACCGACTCATACAGCTCATGTTCATATTTTAACGTTTAAACATTTGCCAGAACCATTGTGAAAACTTTACAAGTACCAAAGAAGAACAGATTTTGTACCTAAACATTGGAGGCAAGAAACTTCCAAGAGTGGACATTAATAAGAGTAGATATCACATGAAAGGGTTCCTTACAAACATTCCCCCAATATGCATAAGGCATTGCTAAACTCAAGAGCACAAAATTAAATTATTGTTGCTTACCCGCCCTTGGATGTGGTGGCCTGCATTAGTTGTCTTGGTTTTCAGTCTTTTCAACTTTATTTGTATCTGGTGATCCTGCCAGTAACATACTTCCCGTCCTAGGATGATAACACTCACTGTACTGTATCTACAGGTGGGCAGCATTGTCATCCTATGGCAGGATTACAGAACACCTCCGCCTGTCCTCATTTACAAAACTTGGGAAGGATGGTGTTTTGTAGTTCACAGAGAAAGCTGTGAATGATGCCAAATGATAACAGCCAGCAGAGGCAGAGTGCACAAGAAGTCATCAGAATTAGCAGGTATTTCTTTTGCACTTCGAATAGATATAACTAAGCACTGTATATCAATTTCTTATCTCCACATCCAACAATCAGTGTACTCCCAAAAAGAAAACAAAATCCATGGAGTGCGGATCGTGGTCAGTATTTTGGTAACCCACAGAAGACAAAAAGTCTGTAACCACTACATGTTGTTTTAGCGTACGGGCTGGTGTGACGAAGCCCATACACATATGTGTATATATATATATATGTGCCGCCCCAATGGGGCATAGAATATGTTATAGAAGTTAATATAGATAGAAGTTTTACATAGTGTGTTTTGGCTAACTATTTTCTCATAGCTAAATCCATGTGTTATCCTATGCTGCCATCTAGTGGCCTTTTGTTGTAATGTACATGTTTTTCTGTAATTATTCCTCATGTGACGATGTATTTCCCCCTAGTGTACGCCCCTTCCTTCTTCCTGTGTGCAGTACTTCCTGTGTCATGGCCACAGTTGAAAGCCACATGTAACAAGGACACACAGGTAATCTGCACAGTACGGAGGAAAGGCATCATTTTCTGACCGCACAATACTATAACCGTTCAACTGGTGTTCCTATCATCTGCTGTAACCTGATGTTAAAGAATAAACACCTCTTTTGAATGAATCGGTATTGACGAGTTCAGCTATCTGACGAGGATTGACGTACGTATACCCCAGGTTTTCATACATCTTCAATGCCGGAAGCCAGAAGGTCATCATGACAGCCAAGCAACTACAACCTTCAGGAGGAAAGTTCAGCCATGGCAGCCTCCATGTTTTATCATGACTGGTATCTTTAAAGTCTATATGCATGTCCAAAAATCCTTCCCCTTGCAATGGGGCTACCACAGCATTTCAAGGGCTACTTGGTTGTTTTTGTCTAGGGGATTTCTTTAAAGAGGAACTCTAGGAATTTAAAAGTTAACCCTTGCAGTGGGGCTACCCTCACACTGCAAGGGTTAACTGATCATTTTTGTCTAGGGAACTGAATAAAGAAGATATACTTACCAGATCCTCAATCCTGCCTCGCTGCTAGACCGGTCCAAGCAGCCTCTTCTCTGGAGGTCTAAGGTCCAGTGAGTCATAATGTCTAATACTGTGTATTAGACGCGAAGACGCTGAGGGACATACCACAGCCAGAGCAGAGGGGCAGCAAGGCTGCAGGAACCGGTCTAGCAGGCAGGTGGGATTGAGGATTGCGTTAGTATTTTTTCTTTCTTTGGTCCCCTTGACAAAAACAAGCAGTTAACCCTTGCGGTGCAGGGGTAGCCCCCAGGGCTGGATTAAGAGCATCATGAGCATGGTGCTGTCGGTCAGACGGGAAGCAGCAGAGGCAGCTCTCTAATTAGGCAGCTGCTTGCTCTTCGCTGGGGCCTCGCCTGATTAGAGAGCCGTTGGCGCCCATGCCTGTTTGTGTTCAGCCTGGTTGGCCCAGATTGCCATCGGGCATACCAAGGCGATATAGTCTGGTCAGGCCTGTTTTTAGTGGTGGGCCTGGAGCTGGTGCTCCAATAGCCCCTATGTTAATCTGGCCCTGGTTGTCCCACTCCAAGGCTTAACTTTTAAAATTCATGGAGATCTGCTTTAAAGCAGATTTACTTACCCGGTCCCTTCTCCCCCACCGATTGGCACTCACCTCTCTCCCCTCTGCTTCAGCTGTGGACTCTCCCCCAGCTTCCTCACATATATTGCAGGGCTATGGAACCTGCATGACATGCGATTATTTCAGTGGGCCTCCGACTGCCAGAGCGGAAGGGGGGAAGAAGAGGTTGTGGGTGCTGGTTTTGGAGCCAGGGGGAGCGGAGGATCAGGTAAGTAAAACTGCTTTAAAGAATCCACCTTAGACATAAACAGTAGTTAACCCTTGCAGTGTTGGTGAGTTAACTCTCACTGCAAGAGGAGGGGTTTTTTTGTATCTAGAAATAGGCTTTAAGCTAAGCTAGCTCTAAATAAATAAATAAAAAGTATACAAAAGAATGAAATCAAGAAACAAGAAGCAAACCTCCATAGATGATCCAGAAGGCACAGGCGTAGGGGATGTAAAATTCTCCATAGAGAAAGAGGAATTTGAGTAAGTCATGCACAATCTTTCCAAGCATCACAATGAAAGGACCAAGAAGGCTGATTGAGATAGAAATATAAACATTACGTCAAAAATGAATTATGTAATGATGTATAATAGGTTCAGTTACATGATGCAACACTTATATAAGACCTCTGGTTAGTGGTAATATTTTGTCAGCCGTGTGTCTGGATACCCGTATGTTCCTTTATGATGCATTTGGGGCCAATAATACGTTCTGCCTATGTGTATTAAAGGTCATATACAGGTGAAACTCGAATAATTAGAATATCGTGAAAAAGTAATTGCAGTAAGTGCTGCAAAAGGGGCCCAAACCAAGTACTGAGTACATATGCATGCTTGTACTTTTCAGAGGTCCGATATTGTTCTATGTACAATCCTTGTTTTATTGATTGCATGTAATAATCTACTTTTTTGAGGTTGTGGATTTGGGGTTCTTGGGGTTTTCATGAGCTGCAAGCCATAATCATCACAATTATGACAAATCCGGCTTGAATTATCTTGCTTTGCATGTAATGAGTCTATCTCATTTATTAGTTTCACCTTTTAAGTTGCATTAGTGAAATAAATGAACTTTGCACGATATTCTAATTATTCGAGTTTCACCTGTAATGCTTGATGGGAAAATAGCTTTCATGCTTTAGGTTGGCTGCCAAGGTAATAGTTCTTCTGGTTTTCAGAGCAATCATTAGAGGAGGGCAATATCACACTAATAAAAGGAAAAGCACAATCAAAAATGGGTTTGAGGTCTGCGGGTGGCTTATATTTTAATGTGCCCCTGTGCCCAGCCCATAGACATTAAAGTATTTTCATATTCTTAACTTACAGTAAAAAATAGCTGTAAAACAAGCCCACAATGACCTCTCTAGCTGCATGTACTGTGAAGAAATATATCTTCAAAATGCAAAGCTGAAGTCATGGCTCCTGTTCCCTTATTTTTTGTGGCAGCAGGGCAGTCTGCCAGCCTTCTAATGTAAACACAACAGGTGCTGTAAGCTGTTAGGAAACCAACTGAACCCCAACATTAGAGTCTCTGCTTGCCCCTCCTGACTTCCTATTGGTCCTTCTTATGAAGGAGGGCCTCACTCACCAAAAGGGTGTTGTGTCAGGATGCTTGTATTTGATGAATGAAGTCAGTAATTATTATAGTAATTATAGCCGGAATAATAGTAAGCTCTGAAGAAGGGGGTTTAACCCTTTAAACACGTTAGGTATTGTCCACCATCACATGCTGAAGGTTCTCTCCATCTTATTATTCCCTACTTGGGTTATTGATTACGAGATTGTTTACTGATGCCATCTGCACTGAACGTGCGAGTAGAATGGACGTCTGATTGGGCACTGCTTTAATAAATGGTATCACATGAGGAGACGGTGCTTTTTCTGTTATCTCTTTTCATGCACTGGAGAATTTCCCGATCCATGTCTGAACAGCTTCCCTTCCTGGTGTAAACATATGTTAATGAAGACACCCTTTAGGATCTCTGGTGGTCGCCATCAGTGCTGAGGTTGTGGTTTGAGACTACTGACTTGTTCTAGCTAGCTCAGTTAAATGATCTTTTAAAAAAAGCCTAAATTCCTAAAAACAAAGAATAAATTAAAAGACAACATGGGCGTCCCAAGGTGGGGTGAGACACGGAGCGGGTGCCGGGTGACACCCCACCGTGACGTCATTGAACGTGCATGTGACATCATCACGCACGTGCGACATCATTGCACACGCATATGATGAGGTCACATGCTGTTACCGCTGTTATCTGCCGCCGGCCATCTTGGTGATGGACGCCGGCAGAGAGAGGAGGGGACGTTCACCCAGAAGGATAAGGTATGCCACTGGGTCCCCTCCTCTCTGGAAAAACTGTTGGGCTCTCGGTCAATGGCCAAGTGCCCGACTTCTCTGAGAGAGTGACATCAAAATGACTGCCTGGCCGCACCCCCCTAGTGACGCCACTGGGATATAAACATCTATATGTAATAACACCAGGAATTGTTGATCCAGGGAATATCCGATTCCTGTGGGGGGGTCAGGAAGGAATTTTTTTCCCCCTTTGGAGCAAATTGAACCATACTTGATAAGGGGTTTTGCCTTCCATTGCATTCAATTTAAGGAGCTTTCCTGTTTTGATTTCCTCTATTGTTTGAACTCGATGGACTTTTTTCAACCTAACCACATACCGATGTAACTATAACAGCTTTCATTTTTTCCTAGCAACAAGCACACATTTTATGGCCATTTTGATTGACTGTAAATCTCTTGTCGTCAGGAACACCTGCTGAACTGAAGATGAATTAGCATGTTTTGGAAGTTTGTATGGTGAACCTGATCTTGGGCAGAACCAGACAATCAATCATGGCGCAAAGGACTTTTCAGATAACATGGTGGTTGTTGTGAAGCCCAGCAGAGAAATGACCTGAGGGTCCCTTATCCAGGATACCAGCAGGGAAATGTAACCTCAGCATAGTCCGAGGAGGTCTCGTTACCAGGCAGTAAAAATGACAAATATTTCCAACATGCTGGCATTGCTCCGGCATCATCAAAGCCCGCAGACATACTAGGAATCCTTTGAATGTTAATTGTGAAAATGCTGCCTGCACACTAGTAAGGGACAACATGTGTGTTGCCATGGAATAAAGTTGTACATGTTTTGAATAACTAATAACTCAAATACTCTTGTATGTCTTAAATTTCCAAATTGTGTGCAGTAGGGAAACTAATAGCATGTCATTTAATAATCCTTTAAAGAACAGGGCACAAATGTTGGGAATAAAGTTTTTATTTGTTGGTAAGGGTGAAGCCTATGTCAAAATATACATGTTGGTAAATAATTAATGGTGGAGTTATTACCATGAATATGTGTAGCTAAATGAGCTTCATCGCTGAATAGAGAAGGGGCTATTGAGAGTGGTTTCAAGATTCTTTGCAGCACATCTTGTACTACTTCTCCCTCCACTCTTTCTGAGCTCTGCTGTACAGGGACTGCAAGTGCCTGATTCTAGGTCACATTCAGGTACTTAGACTGCTCATATTTAAAAAAAAATATTTTAATGATGTATTAATGGTTTACGTTGCACAATTGTATGTGTTTTATATCTGGCCTGAGTTAACTTTTAGACCCCACTTACAGCCTAAATGTTTGGGTTTTATGGTGTGCAACACGGTCCTAACCTTTCTTACTCAAACTAGCAGAGAAAAAAAGAGGTTTTTAAATTTAAAGCCAAAACCTTTTGTTTTTTCATCTGTGTCCCATCAGGGGGATTTCCCTTTAATTCTTGACCTAAAGACACAAGAGGAAGTAAAAGGAATTCTCTCCAAAATGAGGCAAATTCCCTCTTAGACAGTTGTCACTGGCCCATTGGAAGTTTTGCCCTCTATTCCTGTTGTAGTGATTCGAAATATTTTGGATTTCCCTCAGTTTAAGTCCCAGTGATAACGGTCACCAAGACAAACAGTGAAAGTAAACCTCCTCAGCAGAGACAAAGACAGTAATAAAAACTAAATTCAAAAATAATAGGGGTTCTAACCCTCATCACTCTATCCAAAACCTAACCCCTTCACGACTGAGCTATTTTTCAGTATCTGTTCCTTAACCACTTCCAGTGGGTTCACATAAATGTACGTCCTCCGCTGGAAGTGGTTATACCAAGAACACGGCTGCTGCTGCAGCCCTGTTCTTGGTACCTATTTAAATAGCAGACAATTGCTGTTTAAATACAAGCGATCCGGCGATTAAATACAAGCAATTAAAACATGGACGATACTCTCTAGTGCATATCTATACTGTAAAGGTGCACATACACTGCTCGATTCTCGTACGAGAATCGGGCGAAAATCCGGCGATCCTACGAGAATCGAGCAGTGTGAACTAAGACGTGGGACCGTTTCTACTGTACGGTCGCACGTCTTTTGTCGAGCCAACATGTTCGAAAACCCGCCGAGAATAGGAAGATTCTCGGCGGGTTTCTAGCCTGCTCACCCGATAGCTGCGGAACGGGCCGGTGTGCGCATGCGCACACTGCCCGTTTTGCATTGCCGTCATCGGAAGCCCGCCCCTCAGCGGGGCGGGCTTTCGATGATCGCAAGTACGATCTGCCCGTCCAAGGTGGGCAGATCGTACGGGCTTTCAAGAAGCATACGACCATCGCAAGACAAAAGTCTTGCGATGGTCGTAAGGTGTATGGGCACATTAAGCTTAATGTGTATTTTCCCTTTTGCAGCCAAATTGGGATAACATCTTTATGTTTGTTACTTGTTCCTATTCACATAGGAACTAAAAAGAAAACTATAGGGTAAGTGTTTTCCCCCATAGTTCTCTTAAGGGTAATGGAAGGACATATACTAGCGTCCTCCCGTGACCCAAAACTCAGTATATAGTGAGCTACAGCTCGCGGTATACTGAGACCGCCGCAGCCGGGACGGATCCTGACAATGCTGTCGAGATCCACCCAGCTGCGTAAATGACAGCTGGCTCTGCCCATCTGCAGGGGGATGATGAAAAAGTGAGCGAGTGACGGTATGTGTTCGCTCACTTCCCGATCTATTGAGCCGACATGTAACAGTTTCATTGTTACACGTCGGCTCGAACTATAAGGATGAGGGATTTTCACTCACCTCGTAGTTCTCCTTTAATATTTAAAAATTGTAGCCTATATTTTTCTTGCTCTTCTCTTTTAACTTGGCCTGACTACAGTATAGTGACATCTGGTTGCTATGTAATTACTTCAATGTGTTCTACTTTATTTAATAAGCTTGTTGGCAGTTTAAAAAGTAGATTTATTTATGCAGATCTGAAGATCAAACTCAAAAGAGTGACAGTGCCATAATGAAAAGGGAAAGAAGGCTGGGTCCCAAAGAGGAACTGTTGTTGGCTGTGTATACGCTTCATAGCCGCAGGAAGAGTTCATCAAAACCTCAGAGGTTACATTTTCTTTGAACACTTGTGATAATTCATACCTGTGACTGGTAATTATGAAAGATTACAGGAGTTCCGCCACCTGAATCAGAATGGCAGCAAAGCAATTAGAATGATGCAATGTTATTTCACAAGTGTACAGATGCCTATTGAAGCCCAACTACGGGTGCAATAAACGTATTGATTTCTTTTGAGTTGCACACGCCATCTCCTTTAAAGCCAGCTGCCGTAAGGTATACCGTGTTCTCCACTCCAGGAAAAGGGTTTGTTCACATGCGGGTAGGAGTACAGCCCACGCTGTATTCTGTGCCCACTCGGATGTAAGTGTTGCAGGTCTCAATAGAACTCAGCACTATGGTCGTACCTCCAGCTTCTTCTCCACCTGGCTATTCCCAAAACATCCCAGCCTATGTTTTCTAAATGGCCAAAGGATGGGAGATGAAGAGGCGACCATAGTACATAGGTCTATTGAGACCTGTAGTTCTTTAAGTGCCAAACAGTAATAAAAGATTACTGTACTTTTAAAATTAAAACAACTTAAAGGGTTATAAGTCCATAAGCCCCATTGTATAACCATTAACTTATCAGATTTTAAAAATATTAATTTATGTAGGTTCCATACCTGTAGGCCAACAGCCCCTCCAGTGAAGCCTGCCCAAAAACCTCCCAATAGTGTGGACTTTTTTTAGACGTACCCTTTAAAAAAAAGGTATAAACATAACCTTTTCCCCCTGCCTTTTCTTTCCCTGTGCTTTGAGAGCTATAGTCATATGTCAATGCAAATATTGCTCTGTTTGCATTCAACTTGTCTGAATGGGCTGCCCAATGCAACACAACTGACCAAAATTCAGACTTGGAGCTGTCTGCTTGTAGACGCTTGTGATTGCCATTGACTGCATGACTGCATTGCAGCTTAGATATCCCTAATGGCTCCAGCACTGATAACATAAAAGTGACACTAAACTCACGAGTTAAATCTAAAAAATGCATTTAAGTACCAAAACTAATAACAATACTTTATCTTATTTGTGTATCACTCGGCTGTAGATCCTCAAATCATCTCTGAATTGGTGCTGACACTGTCCTTCCTTCTGGAGGGTGACTACTTTTGTTCTCCATGGTCCCTGTGTGTGTTGTAAAGTAGTCACTGCTCCAAGCTCACTCCCATGATGGACTTCAATCATAATACAAATTATTAAACTAAACGTGAGATTGAGATTGTACAATGTTTGCACTGCTTTAGGTCTGCAATGGCACTTCGCAAGGCACAGGAAAAGAAAAGGCGGAGGTAAGAAGTTAGATTTGCAAGGTTGCTTGGTGTCTCCCTGGACATATTACAAGTGCTAATGTGTTTAAAAATACTGTTGTCCCTTTAACAAGTACTATATATAATCTACATTTCTGATAAAATACATTTTGTGTGTGGCCCAGAATCTTCTGAATGTGGCTGAACCCAGTAACCACCAGGGCCATGAATTTGCTCCAATCTTGGTGTTCTGGTACATGTGTATCCTTTCACTGGACCAATCTCTACTGGCCATTCAGATGCCCTGTTGGGTAGGATGTCTCTTTCAGCACTGGAAGCCCTGCACCAAAAACACCCGCACAGATTTTTTGTCACTAAACGCTAATGTGAGTCTGTGACACACTGCAGTGTGTGAGAGCTTGAGTAGCTGAGCCTGACCAGATGAAAGACTTCATCTTCAGCCAATCAGATCACATGTAACAACTCAATGGACTTTGCATCCTGATGCGTGGGTTTATTCGCTCAAGCCAATTGGCTGAAGATGAAATTTTTCATCTCCGAATGCTCAGGTATGCAAGCTGATGCACCAATGCGAAAATTGCAAGACACACTGCACGCAAAGGTCTGTGTGCCGCTGCTCCCCTTTCACGTGGAGTGTGTCACGAGCTTTACACTCTTTCACTGTCACCAGAACATGGAGACTAAAGCTATCCAGATCTAAAAATAAAAGTTGTGGTTGGGGTTCCACTGTAATTTCCATGACCTTTTACCAAATGTAGGAAAAATATCCTTTTAGGTAACTGGGATGCAGACAAATGATCATTGACCTAGATGTACTTGTGTTTTAAAGAGGACCTGTAGAAAATGATCTTGTAAAGTTTTGGAATGGGTGACTAGAGTTCTTACCGTATGGCTCTTGCATGCTTCATCACTCTCAGCCAAAGGAATATAATGGTGACGGAAAAGACTCGGATGTGAGATACATGTAGGGCCGTGTTGTTCTGGACAATCAGATCAGCTATATGAGTGAGGATCACAGCGCTGAGCAGAAAGTACACAATCCAATCAAAGACATTCCTGGAGGAGATAAAACAGACACATGAACAACACAGAAGAGTCACAGTTCCTCTGCCAGCTACCCAGCAGGGCCAGATTCACCATTAGGCAGAGTAGGCACGTACAGGTGCCCTCCATGGAGAGGTGCAGTGTATGCACTTACTCTGCCTAATTCCCGGTGTTGTGTCAAGATACAACACTGGCAATAGCAAAATGCACCCTCCTGACCCAAGACCAGCAGTGCCTACAGGAACCGCCAGCATCTGCAAGTTCAAAGGAAGGACCCCCTGCGATGCATAAGGCTGCCCTGTATAACGCCTGATGCGGAGAGGCATTTAGGACAGCCTTACGCGACGCCGGGTCCTTCTCTGCATATGTGAAAGCCGGCAGATCCTGCAGCAGATAAGTGCACTGGTTTAGGCTAAACAGATTTCCAGTGGTGTCTAAAGACACACAAAATGGAAATCCGGCCCTGCTACCCACAACACATTTTAGGGAATTATAAATATGTCTGCATACAATTGTTCTAAATGGTCATGATACTAAAGTGGACCCAGTGGTGTCACAAGGGGTATGCAGGGGGTGCGGCCCGCACCGGGTGACACCATCAGAAATGTCACCAAAATGATTCACAGTCATTTTGGTGTCACCCCCTCTGGAAAGTCAGGCAGTCAACAGCTGTACAAGAGAGAAGGGGACCCGGTGGCATATCTTATCCCGCAGGATAAACGTGCTCTCCTCTTTCAAAAAAAATTATTAATAACTATTGATAATATATCAAATTCATCCAATCCAGTTGCATCGATATGATATATAACATATTATTATGAAATGTGCAAATCCAAATTCCCAAAAACTTTTGATAAAAGAATTCTATATATATTGTGAGATTTAGCTTAAAATGGTTCCACTCGCTTATGACTTCTTTTTAAGGGCTTCGGTGCCCACTTTTATTGAATCCAACTCAAAAGTACACACAGCTTTTCCCTCGCAGGATTTTCAAACATAACATACAGCTTTTCTTCAGCCAAAATAACACTTTCAAAGTCTTAACGACTTTAGGTTGTCTGTTTACAATACAGGCTGTATCCAAACTACCTGCCACACAGGCTGCTTTTCAACACACATGTCATACGCTCCTCAGTCTGCCAGACACAGACTGGTTCCAGGGTGGGGCCCTCCTGACTCCTGCACAGAGACCTCCTCTTTCTCCCAGGTGGAACCCTGAACATTGGCCAGCATTCTCTTCATAAGGGCTGTGCACAGGTGCACAACCACTTGGTGTTGGTCACTACTAAAGTCCGGAGATTGGAGATTCCATTATTATTATTACATAGTATTTATATAGCGCCAACAGTTTGGGCAGCGCTTTACAATATAAGGGAGACATTACAATCACAATACAATTCAAGACAAGATGGTAAGGAGGGCCCTGCCTCTGGGGCCTACAATCTAAAAGAGGAGGGGGAAGTGATACATGAGGAGGTAGCTGTGTGGAGAAGAATTGTTTGAGAACGTGATGGTTCAGTGGTTAGGTCGAGGTGGGATAGGCTTCCCCAAAGAGATGAGTCTTTAGTGATCGCCTAAAGGCAGTCAAGGTAAGAGATAGACAGACAGGTTGGGGTAAAGAGTTCCAGAGGATGGGAGAGACTGGATTGGAGATTCCATCCCTCCCAATGCTCTTTGAAATCTCGCAGTTCCACGAACCCAAGCCAAATCCAGAAAACCTAGGAAGAACTGCAAAGCCAGCTCTTTCCCAGTAAAAGTTTGCGCTTTCTGGAACTGCTCAGCCCCCCTGGCAGAGAGTCCTGGGTGACTATATTGCCAAAGGCAACTGGACTTGCTGTATTTTTCTTGAAGATGTTTCACTGGTCATCCAACCAGCTTTCTCAATTCAGAATGACTTCTAAAAAAATTATCTGGGAATAATTATGGTGAATGTTGCTCCAATCCACATAATCTGTTAATCACAACCAGGCGTCCATTGTATTTGCATAATTGGAGTCTAAGAGGTTTATTAACCTGCCCAGAGAGGGGTGTTAAAACAGCATTGTATGTGGCAGACCATAGATGTCTCCCCCCCCCCCCCCCACCTCTATTCAAGCTTGGCTTCTCCATTTTTACATGAGCATATATATAGTTCGTATAATGTACAAGAGAACGTATCCAATTTATGCTCCAAAGATCAAAACCGTGATCAATAAATATTTGCTAGAAGTGACAAAAGAGTCCAGACAAAGCTCCAAACAGCAAGAATGTGTTGATATAATAAAAGCCTAAATCCTGAGTGTTCCACAATACCAAATTTGTGCAACTCCAAAATATTAAGTGGCAAAAAAATGTCAATCTCCCCGTGAATGAATCAAACAATCCACACTCTCCAGAAAGATTTGACCCTCTATAATAACTTGGTCAAATCATGCAAGATGTTATGTTGTACTAAGATACGGAGAACCTCTTCCCCCTATTCCAGCAGTCCTTCCTTCACTGCAACAACTCGACTCTCCACCTCCGTTCATATCACCATATCAAAGAAATATAAACAAAGGCTCATCGTACACTAAATTTTAACAACGTTTATTAAAACCGGAATAAATCCTACTCACATAAGTTGCAGTTAAAGTTAGCCGGAAAACAATCAGATAACTAGGGATGCACAGATACCAAGTACAGTACTTATTACAAGTACATGTACCGATACTTTTCCAGCTCCAAGACTAGACTAGAGAAAAATTCAAAAGTTAGGAGGCTGCTGCCATTTGTAAGGAGTATACAGAGCTCCTGGGATTTGTACATCTCTGTTTTAATGTACGATTTTGTTTTTATAACTATAAATAAAGTGATGCACAGATACCAGTTTTGCGAGTACAAGTACTGATACATTTTTGTTTATTGTCATGTGACAGTTTTTCTAAAACAATACAGACTAATGATTTCCGAACAGTGGTGGAGCGCCAGAGCCAGGTCCCAGCTGCAACCGCTGCAACCCTGGTTGTTCTCATGAAAATGCCAAGTATCGGAACTGGTACTCGTAAAGTATCGGTGCAACCCTACATAACAATTACAGTCTTTACAGCCCTTATATATAGAGGGTCCAATCTTTCTGGTGATTGCAGATTGTTTGATTCATTCACGGGGAGATTGACATTTTTTGCCACTTAATATTTTGGAGACGCACAAATTTGATATTGTGGAACACTCGGAATTTAGTCTTCAATTATATCCACACATTCTTGCTGTTTGGAGCTTTGTCTGGACTCTTTTGCCACTTCCAGCAAATATTTATTGATCACGATTTTGATATTTGGATCATTAATTGGATACACTTTTTTGCACATTATATGAACAATAAATATATAATTCTTTTATCAAAAGTTTTTTGGAAATCGATTTTGCACATTTTATAATACTTGATATATGATATAGATGCACTAGAACTGAATTTGATGAATTTGATACATTTTCAAGAGTTATTAATTATTTATTTTGTACTATAAGAATAGAATTATTTATTATGCCCTTTTATAAGGAATGATAATGTCATACATAGTTTTCCTGCATTGGTAGCGCTGTGCACGTTTTCTCTATAGTCACAAGAAACACATGGAACCCCAAGATCCAGTATTGGTCCTCTTCTGTGATGAATGATGCCCAGTGTCATTCAACCTACATCCTGTAAGCAAACAACATCATGGCTGTATCCGCCACCCTGGACCCATGATGTGGCATTGCTCTCTGCAGCATTTAGGAACTGCCCGGTGTGGGAGGAAGAAGAGAAGAGGATGTATGCAGATTTTTTTAAGGTCTTGGAGTTTTTTAAGCTCCAGTGGCAAGAAGGGAAGATCTGATCCTGCAGTTGTGCTTCAACTCGTTTTTTGTTTATAGAGATCTATGAATCAGACCTAAAAGTACATTGGAAAAGACAAGTTTTAATCTGAAACAGGTCTGTCCTTAGTATGGGACAACAAATAATTCCCTTTGGATGCAGGTGGAGTCCTCCTTTCTCTGTTTTATAGGCCACCTCCAACAGTGAGCAGGCTAAAGCAACATGGGCACGGTGAGTCATTGTGACACCAATACAGATAGAACATTGAAAGGAAGTAAATTCAAAACAGACACAAAAGGAAATATTTCTTGCTGTGGAAGAGCAGGATAGCGGCTTGCAGAACCCACTGGGCAAAGTCAAAGAAAGACAGCCTCATCAAAAGCTAATTAGACTGTGACCTCAGGGAAATGTATTATTGAATGAGACGAGTTTAATGGGTCCACCGGCCTTTCTTCTCCCTCTATTTATAAATGCTTTATAATTGAGAACTGGGTTGCAGATTAACCTTATACAGACTCCAGGAAGATGGCAGGATGGTGCATGCGAAGTAGAAAGGACTTCGGGGTCAATTCAATGAAGCAGATTACATGAACTGTTTTCATTGCGGGGTATTATTTATTAATTTTTAGTGTTGAAAATATTTTCAGATCACTAAATATTTCATCTCATAGAGTTACATTTACCTCATGCACATTGTAAAATCATTTTTTTTGTGGGATTGTATGTAAATATTTATTCAATAAAATAACTTTCGCAGTTATTCACTTCTTAAAATATTGCTATATTTGGGTTTAAATATACATTTAAAGTGTATCCAAACCCAAGAAGAACAATGTCATATATTGTAACTTACCAGTCCTTAGATGTCGTGGGTGATTCATGCTTTTTTCCCTTTCTTTTCACCTTGTGATCCTGCCAGGAAAACACTTCCTGTCCTAGGGTGGCAACACTCACTGACTGTACTGTATATATTAGGGTTGCCACCTGTCCGGGATTCACCCGGACAGTCCGGGTTAGGAATGCTGTGTATGGGTTTCATGGCAGCTGAAACCCGGACACAAGATGTCAGACAGACAGGGGCAACCAAAATTAAGATAGGGGCTACTGGCCCCCCAATAAAAATAGTCTCAACTGTGATATTTACATATGAATGGGTGGTGCTATTTACATATGAATAAGCCAGCACTCATTCTAC